CCAATTTTCCCTGTCATGATGAAAAAGTTACTAGTAGTCCCGTAATTGTTAGGTCCCAACACCAGGGAGGGACCACCTTTGATTCTCTTCCTTCCTCCTCCTTCCTTTCACAGTAATGGGGAAGCCCTAAGAGCAGACTCTAGCTCTGACACGTGTGCCAACTGTGACCACATTTCCCCCTCTGCTGCTCCTACCTCAAATAGTGTCCTCTAAAGCAGAGCTCCACATAGCCCTCTACTCTTATTCAACCCCACCCTTTTCCTAGAGTCCAGTCCATAGAGGCTTTGTTCAATTATGAACAAAGTCCTGCCCACTCATGCCCCAAATCCCTAGTACCTCCTCCATACCCTAGATTGCAATCAAAACTGCTCACCTCAGCATCAAAGGCTTCATGTTTCTCGGCCCAATCCCCTCCTCAACGACTCTAACAATGATGGTCCACCCACTCACTGCTCCAGCCTCACGTTGGAGGCAGCATCTGTGCCACTCTAGCCCACATTGGGACGGCCGGCATAGTTCACTGCAGTGCTCAATTCCCACATCACCCCTCTTCAGAAAGTGTACCCATCTATTCCATCAACCCATTCTTACTTTCTTCAGAAGTTACCTTGTTCATTTTCTGTTTCCCCCAATAAACATGCCACTGCAAAAGAACCAAGTACTGAACAGGTTCCAGGTGGCTGATCTCATTTGGCAGATGAGGGAACTGAGGCTGGAAGAAATCCAGCAACTTGCCCAGGGTCACATACACAAGAGTCAGACTCCAAGCCAGGGCTGGATCCTAGGTGAGGCCGATTACAAATCACACAGTCTTAGCTTGCTGCACCATACTGTCCTTTGTCCATCTCTGGTGCTTAAAAAAGATCCTCCCCTTGCCCTGGGGCAGCTCCCATGGATTCGATTCAGATGAGATCAAAGCCAGCACTGTCGTGGGCTCTTTTGAATTTTACATGTCGACATCTATAGCATGGACTCATGGTGACTGTGCTCCTTGAGTCCTGAGATGAAGCAGAAGGAAATCCCAAGATCTCCAGATGCCAGCCAAGCAAGAGCACGTCACTCTGGCTGCAAACAGGTGCTTGAAAGAGCCAGCGGTCAGCATCACCTCTGCCGGGAAGAAACTTCAGAACAAGGGTCCCCAAGGTCAGGAAGGGTAACCTCACAAAGGTTCTGATTCATCTAAGCACTGAATGATGTATTTTTAAAAATTCAGTGTTTCTTCTTCCAATTAGAATTCCCTGCTCCCTTGTGTACTCTCCTTTTTTTTTTTTTTTTTTAAAGCTCTGAGGACAAATTCCCAGCAGTTTCTTAAAGAGCCAACGCTCTTCTTCTTTTAGATAAATGATAATATCTTTAAAAGCCCATATATCTGCTCATAGCATCAGACAGAATGCTCATTTAGATATGGGCCTTCCCTCTTCAATGGTTAAGATCTACTGCTATAGAGATCTACTGCTATAAAAACTACTTTGTAACAACTATATGAACTGAAGGATATGAAAGTCTGAGATAAAAAAGAAATAAATATGTGGTGAGGAACCCTGGGTCCTACACTCCTAAAGCCCCGGCAACCTCTTTTTCTAAACAGTGAGTGGAATGCATGTGCTAATGAGATGACTAAGGAGGGCTGGGTGCTCGTGAACAACCTCAAGCTGGGGCTGAGGAAAACCAACCATGTGATGGGAAGACTGAATCTGTAGCCTCCATCCCTCTCTCCCACCTCCCACGCTCTGGGGAAAGAACTGAAGCTTGAGATCGTCACCAAAGGCCAGTGATTCATCAATCGTGCCGTGTAATGAAACCTCCATAAAACACAAAGGCCTGGATCTGGGATTCTGGATTGCTAGCCACAGGGGGTACCTGGCAGGTAATGTGGAAGGCAAGGGAGCACTACATACATACGCAAGTCACAGTCTGGGGCTTACAAGTTGGGCTGGAAGTAGGAAGCAGTCCTCTTGGACTAAGCCCTTAACCTCTGGGCTCTGAGGCTGTCTCTAGGTAGCTACCGGTAGAAGGAAATTCAATTAGAGAATGCCAGCTGGGTATGGTAACAAACGCCTGTAATCCCAGAACTTGGGAGCCTGGGCCCAGGGGATCGCTGCATGTTGGAGGCCAGTCTGAACTACATAGTGAGATCCCATCTAAAAACAAACAAACAAATGAATAAATTAGAGATGCCTAGGTGACACTACTAGGGAACCCAGTGTCAGAAGTATTGAGTGATTGCGAGAATGTGAAAAACACCTAAGTTTTTTCCTAGTTCTAGTAAAAGACAATATAAACCAACATTTATTAACCAATTACTATGTACCAACTTCTGCTCTGCTCAGTACACCAGCAAGCAGAGTTTTTATTGAGCTCTTGCTATGTGCCGTGCAGCTTAGAAGCAGAACCTCATTTAAGCCTTGTATCAGTGCCAATGACCCAAGTAAAACATTCCCATTTCACCAGTGACGAAACAGATTCCGAGGTTAAATAACTTGAAGGAAGTAGAATACTGACACCTGAAAACCCAGTCTGTGGTCCAACCTGAGTCCCCTTGAACACACTACCGTCCTAATGTGTTTATTTTGTGACACCGTGATAAAATCATGTAGCTATAGGAGCTGAGTGGGTGAAGTATGTTAAGGAGTTGCCAGTTGCACGTAAAATAACCGAACACTCTGAGTAAAAAAAGAATTGCCACAGTGGGTCAGGCTGACTGTTACTTCAGAGGTCTTGAAAGTCTCCCCAGAAGTACTGATTTTTTTCATGTTTATGTGAGAAGAGCCCATACCAGCAAACAGCCAAAACCTTGTTGTGTGTACCCTACATGAAAATGTAGGTGTGGAGGATCTTCACTGGATCCCATGAGGAAGGCGACCATCCACTGTGTAGCCTCTGGACTCAAGAATCCCTGGACCTTAGATTTCTTAGAAATTGGATGGGAACCTGGCACTCCCCATCTGTGTGCCTTCATCAAATGAGATGATGTAACATCACCTGCAGCCCAGTGCTGCTGCACAGCAGGTGCTCGTAAATGCAGTGTGCTGCCTGCCCACCCTAAGCACCCATTTCCTTGTCCTCAGTAAACCGGCACTGCTCTCCTCTGGGACCATGGTGTGCCCCGCTAAAAGACTACCTCTTCACATCTGCCTTTCAGTGAGAGGCGGCCATGTGCCTCCCTGCTGGCCAGAGGGATATAGACACTGGCTTTTATGGGGCATTTGAGATGACCACTTAAAGGATGTTGATTCATCTGGGAGGACTGCTTTTGTCTCTTTCCTGCTTCCTTGGAAGGTTCTCCACCTCCAACTCAAGCTGTAGTAGTAAGAGGACTGAAACTAGCTGAAGTCAATTTCATTACCATGGGGTAACCTCAAGGAGTCAAGGCCCATGCTGAGGACCGTGAGCCTAAACTTAAGAGATATGTTTTTGTTCTCACTGCAGAGCTCTTTTACAATCATTAGCAATCCTCACATTTCCTGTACATGAGAAACTTCCATCCTGTGGAAGCCACAGTTACTTTAGGAGAGCTGGTCTCAGACTGTGGTGGAGAGCAAAACCACCCATAGTTCTTGGTAAAAAGACAAATGCCCCAGTCCTATTCTACACTAAGAAGTCTCACCCTCATGCCTGAGGATGCTGATGTCCAAAGCGGGCTTTTGTGTTTGTTTTCTGGTGCTAGAGATGGAACCCAGAGCCTTACGGATGTTAAGCATGCGCTCCACCACTGAACGATATCTCCAGCCAGCCCCCACCAAAGCTTGGGAACCATTGCTTTTCGGCGTTTCTCTCCTTCGCTGCCCAACATGATCTTACATACCCTGCAGGTATCAGCCTCAGGACTGACAACATGCAGTCCAAAGCAACTGTAAACATCCAACTGCATCTTATTTCAGGAGAGGTTGGGTCTGAATGGGGGCCCACTGCCAAGGCCATTTCCCATCACCCACCTAGGATATGGCAGGTGCTGGGGGACTTGCTGCCTGCTGCAGCCCACCCTGGCCTGCCCTCACGTTCCCACTAATCTGACCAACCCCTGGCCTACTCCTGGCGGCAATTACCAAAGCAAACTCCGTGGGAGTGTTCAGCTGAGCCTAGGCGATGCCGTCATCCCACCCCGAGTAAAGGCTCCAGCCCCTTACCTTCACCTTCTTCCTCTGACATGGAAAGGAGTGGACGAGGATCAGAGTTCTGAGTTGCCCTTGACCGCTTACCTTCTAAGTGAGTTTCCCTGGCCAGTGCTTGGAGCCATCCTCTCCTTTACAAAGCCAGAGTCATTGTTTTCCTACACAGTTTTTCGGCCACCCATTTCTGTGTGTCACCCAACCAGGAACCACTTTTCTCTGTTTTTTAATAAAGCGCAGGCTTAGCTCTCCTCTTTTCCTCTTCTCTAAAGCATATACCGTCTTTCCTTTTTTTTCCTCTTTTTTGGTACTGGGGATCAAACTCAGGACCTTGCACTTGTGAAGCAGGTGGCAGTGCCACTGAGCTAAATCCCCAGCTACCTTTTTTTCTTTAGAGCGACGCTAACCACGTGGGTTGTAGGAGAGAGGCTTACAGACCAGCATCTTAAAGCCCCACTTGTTGTGGTCCAATAATAATTATAAAAAAGTGGCTATTATCTGAGATTTAAAACCATCTACCCCTTCCATGTGGCTTGGATAAACATGCAGTTGGGAGTCCCACAGACAAAAGGAAGCTCCCATGAGTCATTCACTACACCTCCCCAGTTCCTGGAGGCAATTAGGCCGTTCCTGGCCCAGGCTGCTGTGGGCCCCAGGTGGCTCCGCTAGAAAATCCCAGGGCTCTAAATTGAGATGAGGCTAGGCCCAGGTCTCTCTGCTCACCTGCACCTAGGGCCTGTCCTGAAGTACAGTGAACTTCTCACTATTAAATGTCATATGCATGTGGCTGAGATGGCCAAGGTGGAGCTCAGGGAAGGCAGTTAAGGCTCTCTCTCCAAATATGCCCCAAGCCTGCTCAAAGAGAAACCACCCCAGACACCAGGGACTCACTCTGTATTTATTTCTGGTAGTGAGCAGAGTTTGAAGAGCCACCTCCTCCCCCTCGGATGGAATGGACCGCTGTTGGAGATGAGGCTGGGTAGTGTCCTGGGCGAATAGGCTTGGCTGTATCCAAGACAAAGGAGAGAAGACAAATATTCACAAAAAGCTGAAACAGCCACCCAGATATCTACGGCTCATGGGTGACAACCACAGCCACAATGCTTATCAACATGGCAACCACATCCACCACCAGACTTTTCTGAAAAGGGGGGTTTCCCTCCTAGCAGTAGAGCCAGTGACTCCAGGATATCCAGGTATTATAGGATAGAGAGAATTTATGTATCAATCAGCATATCTTCAAATAAGAAAATAAAATTGGAAACAAAGGACTTTCCTTTTTACAATGAGGTACAGCCATCGTTTCCCCAATACGGATCTGTGTAGTCCCTGAAATAAGATGCAGAATTCTAAAGGCAATATGTTTTTCTGGGGAGAGGAGCCACAGTTTTCAGCAGATTTTTCAAAGGATATGAAATCCAATAAATGCAATGAATAAGTAAGGGACTTTAAAACTAGAAACTTGAAGTTGCTGATTTGTAAAACATCTGCACAGCAATATCTGATGAGAAACAATCTGACATGTTATTAGACATGTTTCAATTTTAAAACTATTTACAGATTATCCCTACATCCCCTTTGTTCATACAGCTCTAACCTGGCAAGTGTGACTTTAGCTGCACCCTCATCTTCTATATGGGCAGAATGTCTAGATCCATACAGAACCCTGGCAGCTTCTAACCACACTCTGATCACCAACGCCAGCCTGGCTCCAAGTCATTTCTTTTTTCTGGTACTGGGGATTGAATTCGGGTCTTTGTGCTTGCGAGGCAGGTGCCAGAACCACTGAGCTAAATCCCCAGCCCTCCAAGTCATTTCTAAAGCTGCACCTGGAAGCCGCTTTCTCTGAGGTTTCCGGCTACATATACAGATCCTTTATGGTTCTGGCTGGACCACCGGGCTGAGAAACTCATATATTTCAGTATTTCCAAGTGTGTACCTGTGTTTACTGCCCTAGACCTGCCTGGGCGAAGGATGGGGTCTCCAGTTCGCAACTCTGGAGAACTCTAGCACAGCAGCAGGCGCCTGACAGGCTCGCCCTCCCAGTGCTGACAAGAAGTGCTGGGGCCAAAATCCTCAAGACCCATTACAGCCTTTCAGATCAACGCGGTCAGGCTGAGGCTCCCAGCAACGCTTGACCCTCAGGAGCGACTGTGAGCACACCCACCGATCTGGGCTGAATGCGCCCTCCGGGCCATGTTCTTGGCTCTCACGGCCTCCTTGATGCGATCCACCTCCTGCTGGTAACGCTTGCGGTCGCGCATGGCGTTCTCCTTGGCCTCCTTCAGCGCGCTCTCCAGTGCCTTCACCCGCTCAGCTGTGGCTCGCAACCGCTTCTCCAACTTGGGCAGCTCACAGCGCAGGTCTGCATTGTCCCGCACCAGCTGTGGCAGGGTAGGAAGACGGCCAGTCACCAGGCGGCTTTGTGCTCACCCACTGGACGAGACACCTCAGCAGCTGAATCATGCCTCCACTGGGTCGTCTTTGACAATCCATAGGCCCACACCCTCCAAGAGCCGTAAAGGAAGACAAAAATCCCATGCCCTGGGGACTCTAGCTCGCTAAACTCCTAATTCAGGGCACACAAGGAGTTTGGGCGCAGGAGGGAAGACAGAATTAAAAGCCATTTTCAGCCGGGAATCCTGATACACACCTGTAAGCCCCCTGCTCAGGAGGTTGAAGCAGGACAATGGCTGGAGGCTGAGGCTCCGGCACAGCCTGGACTACATAGTGAGACCGTGTCTCCAAAAAGGCAAAACAAAACAAGTCGATTTCCAGGAAACTTTCGATTTGGGGCAGGATTTACTTTTTGTGTTTGTTTGTTGGGGAAGGTGGGGGGTAGTGTGAAAATTTTTACTACTAGGCTACTAGCATGAGATATTTGAGTTTTGCTTTTGTGATACTGGTAATTGTATCCAGGGCTTTTACACTGAGCTATATCCCCAGTCTATTTTTAAATTTATTTTTTATAAGGTCTCACTAAGTCTCCAAACTGCCCAGAGTAGACTCAAACTTGTGATCCTCCTGCCTCAGCCTCCCAGAATGCTGGGATTCCGGGCTGGTGCCACCACACCTAGTTTAAAGCTGAGATTTAAAGTCAGTTCAAAAGCACTTGGTGAAAAAAAAGGACCAAGACTTCATATATATTTATTATGTATCACAGGCATGCTAATTTTTAAACAAGGGAAAAATTTTAAAGCACTTGGTGAATGCCTTGTGTTCTAGAGCTTTCTACAGGCACATTTTCCTACAGAATCACTATCTACACTAGCACTGCCTTTGGACCCAGCTTTGCAACAGATTCAGAGGCTAATAGGAAAGTGGAAGTTACTGCTTGTTTCTTGCTACCTAAGAACCACAATCAAGAAGCAACACGCTAGCCCGGAGTAACAAGTGGCTCAGGTGCCAGCCCTGTTATTTCCTGCCATTTGACTTAGAGAAAGTCATTTGACCCCAGGAAGTCTTGGGTTTCCCTTCCATGAAACAAAGACTGAACAAGGCCTTGGATGGAACAGGTGGAGTAAAGAAAGTTTTGAAAATCAGAAAGCACTTAATCAAAGCGAGGTGTTACTGCTCTGATCTGCTTGGTTTACCTCAGCATCAGCTCCACTGAGTCAAAGACAGTCAGTTTTTAATAAATATTCATTGAGTTCATGAATAAAACAATGAATTGCAGAGCCAGATTTCAAGTTGCCTGGCAGTTCCTGCTTCTACATTTCTCATCAACAATTTGTTTGAATGACTTCAAATACAGTGACCTGTCACCTCCCTTGGGGGAAATTCCATCACTAGCACTGCTGAAAAGACCCGAGTCAGAGAGAAACAACATCCCCTTGGCCCTGTGGTGCAGGCATTGAGACCACTTCCTTCACATTCACATCCCACAGCAGGAAAACAGTCACAGACAGGCCATCACTGGGCAGAGGGGACCAGAGATAAACAACCTGCCTGAATCGTGTGTGTGGACACAGTCATCTTTCACTCAGGCAAATGCCAGGGCATGGCAAGGATCCAAGAGTGCACCCATATCTCCAGGAAGTAGGCTACAGGGCACAGGGGGTACTGGTGCCAGGGTCTGCCTTCCCACCATGGAAGTGAAGCAGTCCATTTCCTCAGCTGGAAGAATCAGGGATGTGATCCAGGTCAGGGGTCCACTCAGAGTTCTCCCAGGCCTTTAGGTTCACAAAGTTGCCTTGGAGGCAGGATAGGGGATATCAAGGATAGGTCAGCTGGAGCCCAAGGATAATGTGAAGCCAGCATGAAAAGACAGGACTCCGGATATCCCACTTTCCAAACTCTAGAGAGCTTCTACTCCATCAGTTTTCTAGATCTGGCTTCCATCAAACCAAGTCTTTTACATATAAGGGAAATCACTGAGGACAAGTGATCCTCCACCTCAGCCTCCCCAGGAACTGGGACTGAATTTTGCCCAAGACTAAAAGAATGAAAGGCCCTTCCAGAGCTCTCTGATTACATACAATCTTTTTACCAGCACCATCAGATCACCCTCTCCACAATGCAGCCACCCGACAGGGCTACACTCCGGGAGAGCAGGGAAGCAGAGGGAGGCAGCAGAACTCTCCTACCTGCTTGTGCACCTTGGTGAGCTGCTCCAGGTTGTTCTCCAGGAAGGAAATCTTCTGCTTCTGGGCGGCACTGCCCCCTCCATCATCACTGTCCAGCTCCACACTCTGTGCCAACACCGTGCAACCAGTGAATAAGGAGGCACACTGCCCATGGCCCACCCAGGGACAGGACACACGATGCATTTCAAACCTTTTATGTAAAATCCCCATCCCCTCCTTTCAGGGAAGTATGAGAGTGAAAATAAAAAGAAGTTCCACACAATTCGATTCAGTGGACTTCCCAATGAATTTCCTTAGCACCAAAAGTGTCGTGCAAAGGAGCTATTTTTTAGAGGGCAAAAGGGTAAAAAAAAAATCATCAACTCTGCTTTTGAAAGCTGCAGGTAATTTCTCTTTAGTGAAAGATGCCTCTTCTTTGCAAGCAGGTAGAGATTTTTTCTTTTCAAAAGAAAGAATTCCAAAACTTATTAAGAACCAGTGTGAAACTTAAACCCAACACCCAAATTTGGTTTCAACTATCAGGACAAGATAACAAGTCATCAAGCTTTAACCAAGTGACTATGGTGTCACTGTAAGTTCCAGTGGCCTCTGCTTGTCCCTTCAGCTTCCAATTCCGGGCCACTCCTCAATGAGTCAATCTCAACATCGTCACATCCAGGTGCTGTGTAAACCCTTGAGATCTTTATCAGATCTTGGAACTGGCAAAAACACTGAACTCCTGGCAAGCTAAGTGGCCCAGATAAATACAGAAATACATGTGCAAACACATCCCAGAATTCAAAATTGGTGAAATACATTTGCTTCCCATGATTATATTAGACATCAGCATCCTTTTTCTGAAAGGCAACAGCTTTACGACCTAAACACAGGTTCTCAAACCTGAAGCTGCACCAGAATCCCCGAAGGAAGGGTTGTTAAAGTTCAGATTGCTGGGCACCACTTCCAGGCTCAGATTCGGTAGATCTGTCGTGGTGACACTGATGCTTCTGGCCAGAGGACCATGCTGAAAACCACTGGCCTAACAGCTTGCTTGTTCCTAGTGAGCTTATATAACGATGTCAGGATGGAGTCTGATCTCAATCTCTTAACCCTTCCTCCGACCACAGGCTCCACATGGTCGGTCACGGCTTCTGCCTCCTCCCTACGACTGAGTCCTTTCAGTCCTTGTCATAAGCTCCAGTCAGGTGTCCTCCCTCTCTCTAGAATATCCATCGCTGTGCTGGCCTCACCCTCCCACCTGTCTGAACCTGGGCGCATGTGTTCAGTAGTCATTATCTACCCACCTGATCATGGCCTTGAAATCTCCCATCACTCTCTGCCTTCTGTCTTGACTTGCACTTTTAAGATTCAAGCAATGCTGCCAGGCACCATGCTGAGCCCACTTCCTGTCCCTCAGCTGGACACTCACTCACTGCTCAGCAAGCCATTTACTCAAGACTACTTAATGCCCTCCATGGCTTCCTGAATCTTCTCTAGTCTTCTTAAACTCTCCATCAAGGACCAAGCCTCCTCATTAATGAGGATCCAAGTCATCAAATGTGACCTCTTTCCACAGGCTCCAGCCTAACTCTCCACTCCTCCTCTTAGGAAAATAGTTCCCTTCTCCTTACCCAGCCTAATATAACCATCCACACTATTAATTCTATTCTCAGACCTAACTCCATCGACTTCCGCTTCTTCTTAATCTATGTAGCGTCTCCCTTTGCTCCTTCACACATTCACACATTCACGCATGCTCACACAGGTAACACTACACACACGCACCTTCCTATACCTTCAGTTCTGTCACTTCTCTGCCGTGACCCACTGCTCCTTGTCTACCACTTTAAAACATTTTGTAAGAGTAGCCTCTGACTGCTTTCACCTCTTGGTCCTCCCTTCTGCCTATGCAGACACCCCCAGCATGGAGCTTCCCCAAGATCACTGTGTGCAGCATGAAGCCCACAGACCTGGATTCCAAACTCATCTCTGGTTCTTGCCGATGGTGCGATGTGGGGTAGAGGTCATCTAACATCTGAGCCTTGCTCCACATGGCAAAACAGAAATGTGAAGGCCCAGAGGACAAGACTGCTGGGCAAAGCCAGTAAGATACCGATGATGCTACCGCACCTCCCAAACTGACCTCCACCCCAACACAGCCCCCACAAACACAGAGGGAGCCTCTGGCCATCTGCTGTTGCCAGGCTTTGGGCAACGCTATCCGGTGACCAGACTGCTCTGGATTTTCCTGAACCGGGCATAGTGCTTTCACATAGCAGGGACCAGATAAATGGATGTTCATTTGAAATGAGGGCCAGGGAAAGCATTATAACTTTCTTTCACTCAGAAAGAAAAATCAGATGAGAAAATGTTCCTAAGTAATTTTTGCCTCCAGCACATTCTTTTAATAACATTCTCTGGCAAGAAGTAATTAATTTTTAAGCATAACCAGCCCCAATTTAAGCAAGTGATATTTCAACTCTTCCCAGCTATCTTTTCTTCTCAGAACCACTCAGATAAAATAGAACTCACTTTTTTCACTCGGGTGGTCAGGTCCTGGACAAAGAGTTTACGGAGGTTATGAAGAGTCTGCAGCTCTCTGGACTGGAAGAGAAGATTGTTGAAAACACCACTTTAGTGAGGGGTACACTGAATTTATGTTTTTCCAAATCATTCACCCTAGACTTCTCCAACTTGCTTTTTTCCGGCCACTGTTGATACTGTGGGGCCACTGTGCCTTATGTGACTTTCTTCCCACACCACGGGTCGGCTCAAGGCTCAGGTCATAGCCAGAAGCACCTCGCGGTGCAGAGGCCGGACGGACAATGAGCTACACGTTTAGTGCGAAGCTGTGCCTCTACTCTACTCTCAGTGGAATTTTTTTTTTTTCTTAAGCACAAAAATTCAAGTCTTCTCCCCCAAATTCCTAGTAGGCCATTCTGCATCACAATGGATTCCTTTTTAAAAATTTTTAATCACGAAAACATTATGTATAATGCAACAAACGTAAATTAAAAGTCCCTCCCTCTAACTGGCTAACATTTTCCAAGTTTCTTCGCCCTTTGCTGTCTGTAACTGGAGCTCTCATGGATGGGGCAGTTCTCAGACTCGCCTCCGGGGTGACAGGGGTAAATTACCTGAACCTTCTGTGTTCCGCTTTCTTATTTGTAACATGAGGATGAACACAGTGGTTGTCTCATCACTGGTATCAAGATTAAATTAGATAATCCTTACACAACTCTTAGAACAGTTTCTGGCACATAGTAAGTGCTCAATAAACATTAATATTTTATCAATGATTGTATTTCATATGATTTCTCCACTAGGTTTTATCGTCGTTTTCTTTTTTGTTGTAACTTTCACTGTAATCAACTTTTTAGGGGCATGCTTTTCTTTCATTTAAGAAATTATTAGTACATGTTTGCAATACTAATAAAATGACTACATTCATCATAGGGAGTTGGCAATGTAATGGCACATCTTAATTCTTTTTTTTTTAATTCCTTTACTTTGGATTATTTCTACAAATGAAAGCTTAGGAATTAGATTGCTGAGACAAGAACCTGAACCTGGTGATCTTATTTTCTCCTGTTCAGATCTCTTGTGTTTTTACTACAGGAGATGTGTTAGGAGTGGGGGTTGTACCTAAGGGTTGGAGCGCTCACTTAGCGTGCAGAGGACCTGTGTTTCATTCCCAGCACCTCAAAACCAAGGGATAAAGGTGTTTGCTCCTTGCAAAATATTGCCCAATTATAAGGGAGGAGGAGATAAACGCTTCAGTATAAATTTTTTTTGGTTTTTTTTTTTTGGTACTGGGGATCGAACTCGGGTCCTTGCGCTTGCAAGGCAGGCGCCGGAACCACTAAGCTACATCCCCAGCCCACAGTACAAATGTTTTACTTTGAATTCACCTGTCCTACCACAGAATGTAAAGGGCTGCAGTTCACACAGGCTCACAATGAAAAGGAAAAAACAGGCCACAAAGTTATGAAAACACTAAGGTTCTTGGAATAAGGTTTCTCTGTTAATTTAAGGTCCTATTGCTGGGTTCAATTTCATGTTGAAATAAGAAGCACCTGAAGTCAATTGCATCCTTGACTGAGGTAAATTACTTTCTGCAGGAAGCCAACAGATCCATTGTTATGAATAATGTGAACACAGTACCTGTCCAGGGCTGAGCCACCTTCTAGCACAGGTACAGGGAATACTCGGTGCTCACAGTCACGCATCCTGGCTGTCCGTGCCCCTGTCAGAGGGAGCTTGGTCCCCAGGACCCTAATGCCTGCAACGACCTGCACGCTCTCCCTCCACTGCAGTGATTTTATTACTGATTGAACTGTAATCAGTTAATATTTTTTCCATAACAAGCGCTACCACGCCAAAGGGAAATGAGGAAATGATACTTTATAGCCCAAAGCACTTCCATGGGATATAAGAACTAAATAACATACAATCCTAAGTTTGGACATTTTTTTGTTTTGTTCTGAAGTAGACTCAACAATAAATAGCTTGGGAAGGCAGATAAAGAGCATTTAAAATAGCTTTTATTTATGCACATTTATGCATAGGACCATTTGGCTTCCTCCAACAAGGCCTCTCCTCTATCACATTCATTATCACTTCTCCACTCTCTGACTCCTCTCAAATCTCTTCCTATCACAGGCCACTGCCCTCCATGTGAAAGCTCAAGGCTCACAGTGGACAGGGAGGGTTGGATCTCAGAGGTGATCAGCACAGGAAGAGGCTGGGTCCAGCCCTGAGCCCAGTGTCCTGTTGAAGCAAGGTGCCTGTGTGGCCCACAGAAAACTCAATGCCCATGGGCCCTTCCCAGCATGGTGCTGCGCTGTGGACAACCCAGACTTCAACACCCCAGGTCAGCAGGCTTTACACCCCCTCCGTGCCAATGTGCAAAGAGGCAGCCAGGCTTCTCGCCTGGAAGGGCAGGAAGGGACAGCCAGGGTGGGCGAGCCTGTCTCCCCACCATATGCACGGCTTGGAAGGAGTCTGTGGCCCAGAGAAGGCAGTTGAGCCTCAGACAGCATGTGCTGCAGGATTCCACCGTGGCCTCACAGGCGTGCACGTGTGAGCGGCACATGGGGAGAGACAGGATGAGGGGCCACCATGTCAATGGTCCATACTCACTGGCAGGACGGATGCATTCTGAGTGGGGGCAGCCTATGAGATCAAGCTTGTGCAAACACATCTAGATGAGTGTGGAATTGTGAGTGAGCACAAGGTAGAAGAAACAGGCAGACAGAGACAGAGAGGCTAGTACAGAAGATTCATTATCCATCAACACCACAAAACAAGCAACTGACTTAACTCTAAATTTCAGGCACAAAGCATACGACTCTGTGAGTGTGTGAACGAGCCTGGGTGTGAGTGTGGGTGTGTGTGAGGGTGAATGTGACAGGAAGACTATGAGAGTGACCGATGTGAATAAACAAGAGTGCATGTGTGACCGTGGCTGTGAAAGTGTCGAGGAGCTGGTGTACCGGGAGCACCTGTGCCGAGTATACACGTGAGTGTGCAAATGGGTGTGAGTAAAAGTATGAGTGAGGAGGAGTGTAAATGTGAGAACAAGCGCATGAGTGATTTGTGTTCATGAGCAAGAATGTGCATGTGTGAGAATGTGCAGTCCCCAGCGAGCCCGTGAACATACATCCGTGTGAGTCCGAACGGACGCACTACGTGTGTGGGTGATGGTGTAGGACTATGTGCCAAGTGTGGGAATGGGGCACGTGGGCACATTTGTGCACAAGTACATGAGGGAGTCGTGGGTGTGAAGACGACGCGGGGTAAGAAAGTGAACGACTGTGCAGTGCATGATGGTGGGGTGCCAGGGCACCTGGGACTCATGCGGTAAGGGAAGAAATACCCTGAAATACTATTCATCTTGGGCTGGAGGAAATGTAGTAAAATTTCAATGCTCAATATTTCCTTGAATTTCTATAACTTCATAATCTATAAAGATGTAGACGAAGAACTTTGTGGCCTCATTTCAGGTCCCCCTAAAACCACCTTCTCCACAGACTTCACACTTCATTCAGCACCAGCATCTTCCTTCTGTCCTGATGCTGCACACTTGTTCCTCTCCCAGGCTCTGAGGAGCAATGAACACAAGCCCAGGAGCCAGACTGCAGCAGCAAGATATGAGCAATCCTCCTCCTCCTGCTGAAGTCCCCAGGATGTCAGAGGCTGGCTCAGACCCACTCAGATGCACACAGCTGTGAATGGGGTCAAAATGGAGGGCTGTGTCTAAGGTTTCTCACGTGCAGGTATCAACACATCTTCACTAAATTGAGCCAATGGCAGAGTGGCTGTCTTCAAACCCAGGCTTAGTGCTGTGCTTGGGGCTCATTGAGAAGGACTCTGGGGGACCCTCAGGGCCAGGCAATCAGACCACAGAGCAGTGAAACAAAGCTGGCCAGAGGGGGAAGGAAAAATGCAGAATAAATAAAACCAAGGGAATGTCCAACAGTGAGCCCCCCCAAGGTACACAGGGTCTCTGCCACTCTTCTGTCCAAAGCCCCACAGGTTTCAAGACCCTTGCTGGCTGTACCACTATAGCCTTTTCCTCTTTGCCTGTCTTCCACCCCTTCTTCCTTCAGTTGCAACCATGATGACCCTTCTGCTGGCCTCCAGTGTACCAGGCACAGGCCCACCTAAGGGCCTGGGCACAAGATATTGCCTCTGTCTGGAATGCTCTTCCCAAAACATACCCATGACTCACTTCTTCCCCTCGACAAGTCCCTAACTCAAATGTCACCTTTTCATGGGGTCTCCTCCAACTACTACCTCTACGGTCATCTAACAAAGCATAGTAGCCCCCACCTAACTATATGGGGTACATTCCAAGATTCCCAGGAGATGCCTGAAATCGTGGAGAGCATCAAACCTTATATGTACTATTTTTTTCCTACATCTACATAGCTATGATAAATCTTAATGTATAAATTAGACATAATAAAGGATTAACAACAACTGAAAATGAAACAGAACAATTGTAGCCGGGCATGGTGGTGCATGCCTGATATCCCAGCAACTTGGAAGGCCCAGGTAGGTGGATTGCTAAGTTCAAAGCCAACCTGAACTATAAAATGGGACCTTGTCTCAAAAAAATTGTAATAAGATACCACAATAAAAGTTATGGAAACGTGGTCTCTCAAAATATTTGAATTCCTCATTACCTTATTGTAACATTTTCAGGTTGCAGTTGACTCCAGGCAACTGAAACTTCATAAAGGGAAACAGTGGATAAGGGATGGGCTGCTGTATAGTTGTTTACTGTGTCTCTCCCAGCCAAAGGCAAGCTCCATGAGGGCAGGGATCTTATCTACATGGTTTGTTGGTGCATTTGAGCACCTGCAGGGCCAGCCCTTAATAGGTGCTCAATGAGTAACTGCTGAAAGCTGAGGGACAGTGTCACAAGGTTCAGAGGCCATAAAATTGCAGGCACGGATTAAGATTTGGTTTAATTATTACTTGAGGGCTGCTCTGGGGTTACAGCTCTAAAGACTGATTGATTTTGTCATGAACTAGGGAATAGATTCTCCTAATCTCACTGTTCCACGGGATGTTTTAGGTCCAAGGTGATGCACAAGCAAGATATACACAGATAAAATCATAGCATGAACAGTTCAAAGGATCACAAATGTCAGGTCTTTACGTCTGAACTGAGTAGGGAACATCTGGACTCACCACTGTCTCCTCCAGCCCCTTAAGGTCCTCTCTGGCTTGTTCCCTTTTATCATTGAGCAATCTGAAACACAAGATGGAATCATCAACCTCCAAAGGGGAATGAGAACTAGGCAGCTACTATCTGCATCGACAGCTAAATCAGCAAAACAAGCCAACAGACACACAAATAGCCACGGTCTGTTTTTAAATTAGCTCAATCTAACTGGAATATCTGGGTCTCAGAATCAGGAAAGTAGAGTGTTTATGACCTCCTGGGGATGGGAGAGAGCAAGAGATATTTAAAGTGCACTCACAAGAGCTTTTCCAGTTTCATTTCTCTCTCTTGGTCCTCTATTTTCAGCTTGTTATAATCAGAACTGAGCTTCTCCTGTTCCAGTTGCAGTTTCTGATTCAAACTAAAATTGAGAGGAAAAGCAATATATTCCAAATCAGTCTGAAATTCTGAGTCATCCAGTTAAAATTGTGGTTCTGTTCCAACCCCATTAGTTCTGTGCAATAAAGGCAGCAATTCTCGAGGATTTTAAGGGATCAGAGAACAACCTCACAGCTTCTTCCTGCCCAACTGAAAACTAATTTCTGGGGAGCATTGGGGAGGCATGAAACAAAGGCTTTGAGGATGTATTTATAGTCTGCTTGCGTGTAAGAGCTTCAGGAAGAAAATGATGATCCTGGGAAAGGGCGGATATTTTAAAACAGAGGAAGTGACCCTTAGAATCACTCTGCTTCTAGAGCCACATGGATGCAAAACTGCCCTCAGGTAGCTTTATGTGTCCATGGCGACTTGCTCCTCTCTGGTCTTGCTCCTCTATGGTCTACAGGTCTCTCCCAAGTCAAGTGCCTGTTGGACACAGAGACAATTTCCACTCTGTGACACTAGAGGAGGGATTCAGAGTGAGGGGTTATGAGGAGCAGAGCTGGGTTCTACAGGAAACCGAAACTGGCCATCTAGCTGGGGCAGTTGGTCGACATTTACGTCAGCTCAGTGTGAGTTAAGACCTATATACAGAGTGGCCGTGCCCAGCAGCAGTAAGGGCGCATCTTCTGCACTGCACGAAATGAAGCCTGGGGTCCATGTGAAAGGCACACGATCCGGGAAGCCTCCCCATCTAGAAACTTGCTCACCGGCCCTGCTTTCTCTCACCCTCCATCCTTTCCTCTTCCCTCTCTCTCCCAGCTGACCAGGTCAAGGGTGATTCATCAAAGTAATGAACAAAAGAGAATCATATCATAAGAGGTAACCCAGGGGAGGCCCAGAAGGAGAAGGGGAGAGAGGATGCTAAGTTCTTTCCTTCAGGAAGATTGTGTGCAAGAGCCCATCCCATCGTTGAGACTTCTGCTTCAGCTACGATTCTCCTCTTCCAAAATGCAAATGCACTGTGCAAACAGCTCACATACACCGAGAAGAGATTTGGATCAGTAGTCTGGAGAATTAAACTCTTAACTCCAGTCTGATGGCTATTTAACAATCTGACCTTAAGTAAAATAATGCAATCTTGCTTCTGAAAGGGAAACCCGTCTATTCATCTACAGAAAGCAGGAGGGAGGGGAGCCCTGGTGTAGTGGGAAGGGGTGTTGGTGGACGGGGTAGAATAATATTTCATTAGCATTGTTTTCTTTGTAATCCTATGCCTTTCATGTGAGCCATTCAAAAACATTATTCAAACAACAAAAGGGTGGAGAGACTTCCAAGGGAATCCACTGTGCAAGGTCATTAGGAAGCCCCAGCAGGGGACCCACAGGCACCTTTGTGTGGAAAGATGGAGGAGAAGGGGGCATCATGGAGCAGGGGCTCCCCTGCAGCTTTGACAAGACAGGGGCACAGCCACGAGGGCAAAGTCCCTAGAACTGACCTGCAGTGACCCGTCCTGATGGAGGTGCTGTGGACCACAGCACCTCCGCACATGACCGGGTGGCTGCACAGTGCAGGGAGCAGGTGCATGCTGTGCTGAGGTGTGGCAAGTGCTGCCTGTCTTCTCCGGAATGTACTAACCTATCAGAACCCCTAGGTCAGAACCAATTGCTTTTTTCATACTTGCATACAGCCTCTTCATCTCCTGGGCAGGTGTCTGCCCAGCAGACTTGCCAAAAATGTGACCTGTCCCAGGCTGGGGTGAGACAAAGAGGGGCAGCGAGGCTCGCCTGCCACCTGCCTCCCCAGAGCCCTAGAAGGCTGGACTCCAGATGGGAGAACAGATCTCAGGGCAGCAAACCCAGCCCAAGGTGGCACCAGAGCACAGCACAGAAGCCACAGGGAGCGGGGACCCAGCCCCTTGGCCAAAGGCCAAATCCCCCCAGGCTGGCCCAAGAGGACTGAGCCATGGCCACCCCCATGCCCTACAAGCCCCCAGCCCACTCACTCCCGGATCTCGTCAATGATTTTCTGCTTGTCCTCAATTTCATCTCGAAGCCTGGACAGCTGCTTCTGGTGAGCTTCCCGGTGGCTCTCCATCTGCTGCTCCAGTGCCTTCTGCAAGCCAGGCCAGGAGAAATGTGTCATACACTCATTGGCACTCGGCCCACACCATGACAAGCCCTGGATCCAGATCTACCACCCTCAGCTGTCAGGGCCCAAAACTAAGGAGATTTCTGGCTCCTGTGCTCTCAGCACCTGGCCTTGCTTTACTGGGACAGCAAAGCCTAAAGATCTGTACAGAAGTCAACTGAGCCCTAGAAGTAAATCAGTCCACTGACAAAGTTTTCTCTGACCTCCTACAACTTGCCTGAGGTACCCGGCCTATCTAGTCAGGTCAGTAAGTACAGCCTCTTACTACCCGAGTGGTTTCAGACAAACTACATAACCAGTGTGACTGAGCTGCTCTCTCCCCTGTAAAGCTGAGGTTCCCAACCCTGGCCTACACAATGCACCCATGTGACGATTTTCACAGGAGACCTGCCCACCAAAGAACCCTGAAAACGGGAGTGTTGTTCATCCAGGTGAGGCCGGACAGGATTCTATTGGCTGGAGCAGGGCTACGCTCCAACTATGGGCTTTTGCTCCATGAGGCTACTAAGTTTGCTCAACTATTCAGAATTCTATCACATCTCATCTTACTCATGTAAAAGTCCTATTTCTCCATCATTTTTCCTATGTTTTGCTTTCCTAATTAAAATGTGATCAATAACAATCAGTTTGGGCCAGGGATTTAGCTCAGTGGTTCCGCCATCTGCCTTGCAAGTGCAGGGACCCGAGTTCGATCCCCGGTACCCCCCTCAAAAAAAACCAATCAGTTTGTTTAGGATAGAAACTCAAATTCGGAGTGTTTCTTTACAAAAGCCAAAGGGAGAAGTTTTCTTCCTATCAAGGAGGAGAGGGAATCTGTGTCTTTAGAAGTTGACCTGGACAGTGGGGCTCACAGTGACTGGGGGTACTGCCCTCTCCCTCTTACTCCAGAACAAGGGAGACAAAGGTATCGATAACTTTGGCTATGGACACCTAGTCTGTGGTCATCCCGTGCCTAGACCAGGCCGCACTACAACAGCTCTGCGTGCCCGCAATGGGCCCTCCCGCAGAGCCCGCAATGGGCCCTCCCAGTGACAGACTTTTCTAGAACAAGAAAACCCAGTCTGAACGCACGAAATGCGTGCTTGGCCTGGCAGAAGGGGCAGCTGTACACACCTTCATCTCCTCTGCGTCCTGCAGCCGCGTGAGATGCTCCTTTTCCTTATCCTGGAAACTGACTTCGTGCATTTTTTCTGTTTTGAATGTTAAATGGTGATTTAAGATTACAGGCAGGACTCACCCAAAAACAAACAAAAAAAATTAAAGAGGCAAAAGACAAGAAAAATGGCGACAGAATGAAACATCAGCTTTCATCAGCCATCGCAGTCAGGGCACAAAGGAAGGGGTCTCCCGAAGGCCAGGGCTGACCTCCTGAGCAGCAAGGCCGAAGTGCCTAGATCGAGACCCTCGGAAAGAGCAGTGGGTGGAGGGCGAAGGGCAGTAAGTGGAAACAGCCCTCAGAACAGTGTCCTGGCTCGAATCACCTCACACCCTGCAAGACTTGTTTCCCACCTGGCTTCTATGAGCAACCCCTGAGGTCACGTACAGAAACAGGCTGTGCAGATTATAAAGCACCCCGTGAATGCTAGGTGGCATTTGGATTCATGCCACTGGTAGAATTCCAGAAAGAGCTAATTTACCTCCCATGAGTAGGCTGTTTATTTTCTAAGAACCTGGAGCAGGAAAACAATCAAAGGCTGAGAACAAGGGAAAGGGAAATAAAACTCAGGGCTCTCAAGATTCCACAGAGGCCTCGTGGGGAGCAGGGCTTGCAGGGTCTCGGTCTCGGTCTTGGCACATTCTGGCCAGTCGCGCTCTGGGAGTGCATGGTGTGGGCAACCTGGGCTGCAGGGTGGGGAACAGGGGGCAGAACTGTTCAAGACGGTGGCCTTCATTTCACGATTGCTCTCTCATCTGTTCCACTTTACTTGAGGGCTTCTCTATTTTATTTCTATTCAGTGGCATCACTGCAGGAACCGGGGTTATAAGGGAAAAACTCTTTTCCATGTCCACTTTTTGGTGGTAAAGTCCATTCCTAACATCCATTCTTTAGCATATAAAGAAAAGGTTTCAAAGTTTTAGCAGAGAGAGTAGGTTCGATTTTTAAAATTTAAAACAAATGTATTTACTAAATAACTACGCAACGTCCATGAAGGACATAAAATAAGATAATATAATTGCCAGTCCAACTACTCCATTAAAACTACTTAAAATATTTCTAGGAACATAAGACTCCATTTGGTTTTGTACTTATAAACATAAGAAAGATAAAATTTTGTACTATAATTTCTAACCTGATTGCAGTATTACTGCATAACCTCACGTATTTCAGCTCTGGTGTGAAAAAAGATGTTCTATTAAAGATTATTTAGCATTAAACATTTATGTGGCTTTTTTCCTTTCCTATCCTTTGTTTGTTTGTTTGTTTGTTTTTCCTGATCTAAAATTCTGTGTGAATATTTGAGATATGAGGATGAAAGGGTAGGAGGAAATGTTATGATTATTTAACTTGCCTTCCAAAGAGACTACATTTTAATTTCAAGACAATATATGTGTTTGGTC